CAGCTATAGTCACATTATCGATATACAGAGAAACATCTCCTTTCTCAATAAGATTCTCTTTTAAAGTCAGTCTTGGATCTGAGGGCTTTTTAAATTCTTTACTGTCAAATTTTGCAATTTCTGTTCCCTTGAAGTGCCAAAGTATGGCCAGGTACTTCATATCAGTCCGAGATGCAGCTTGTTTGAATGTACAGGGGATCGAGGCCGGTAAACCTAACTCCAGATTAAGGTGTACTGGAGCGCTGACCGTGAATGATTCACCAACAGGAAAGAACACTAGGGAAAAGCAACAAAAATAAATATTACATAAAAAATAAAATATACTCACTCACTTTAAAACAGATTTATCTTCATACATCATACAACAACATTTAAATGTCTCTCTTGATACTATCTATATAACAGAGACCTATCCTATAATAATGTGAATTCTTCTGCCTCTTTTGTAGCTCATCATTTGCCACAATTAAAAATTTAAACATGTAGTAAATCTAGACTTTATTTTCTGCAAGTGCCATTCCGATATTATGTTTACATTTTAAAATGTTATTCAATTCGCTTGAAATTCAAAACAGGTCACGTTCAATGGAACACTTTTGTTGAAAAAAGGCATATTTTGTTTTCCAACAGTTTATTAGATATGCCCCCAATAAAATTGTGGGTGTATTTTATTATACAGTTTTTTCAGTGGGATTATATCTAAAACAGCTTGTAAAATCTGCGGATCTCTTGTCTGGAGCCCTTGCAATCCCTCCCCTTCTAACCCCGCCCAGACTTTCTGTGGCTGTCCAATCACAGACTCCCAATGCAGCTCAATGAGAAGTCTTTGCAAGACAGGTGCTCTGGGCAATTGTTGCCTTTTGAGTTTAGCTCAACTGAGCTAACCAAACCAGGAAGTAACAGGAACCAAGTTAAATAATAAAAGTGACAAATTCGATTGAAATCTGCACTTCTTGTAAAATGAATAAAAGTCATCAAGGGTTCTGGAGTGTCTTTTTAATGTTTTTTGAAAGATACACAAAAAGCCAAACATAACCATCAGACATCACCATGAGAGATAGCATAGGAAAAACAGATCCACACATAATAGGCTGTTATGTAAATTATATATGTAAGCATAAAAGTGGTTCGTTGTGCACAGTGCAGTGTATTCTCTTTTGTGGTAAATTTGCATCTGTAGGGAGGGCCGGACTGGCCCACCGGGATACCGGGAAATTTCCCAGTGGGCCGTCGGCACCTGGCACCAGGGAGACAATTGGGCCATGGACATTTGTGGCCACAGGGAGAGCTCTGAAGGCGGCCGCAGGGGAAGCTGTGTGTTCTGTCTCTGCTCCCCCGCCCTTGCGCGCTACTCAATAAGACCGTGGCCCAAATATGACGTCATATTCCAGCCCCGGTCTCATTAAGCTGCACGCTGGGGAGCAGAGACAGAACACACAGCTTCCCCTGTGGCCGCCATCAGAGCTCTCCCTGCGGCCGCTATCAGAGCTCTCCCTGTGGCTGCCAGCACACCCATCTGTCTGCCCACAGGTAGCAACAATTATGTATGTCAGTCTGTCAGTGTGCGTGTCTGTCTGTCATGTTGTGTGTGTGTCTGTCTGTGTCATGGTGTGTGTGTGTGTCTCTCTGTGTCATGGTGTGTGTGTGTCTGTGTCATGGTGTGTGTGTGTGTGTGTCTGTCTGTGTCATGGTGTGTGCATGTGTCTGTCTGTGTCATGGTGTGTGTGTGTCTGTGTCATGTAATGTGTGTCTGTGTCACGGTGTGTCTGTATTATGGGATGTGTGTGTCTGTCTGTGTCATGGTGTGTGTGTGTCTGTCTGTGTCATGGTCTGTGCCATTGTGTGTCTGTCATGGTATATGTGTGTGTCAAGGTGTGTGTATGTCTGTCATGATGTGTGTGTGTCTGTCATGGTATGTGTGTGTCTGTCATGGTGTTTGTGTGTGTCTGTCATGGTATATGTCTGTGTCACGGGGTTTGTGTGTGTGTGTGTGTGTGTCTGTCATGGTGTGTGTGTGTCTGTGTGTGTTTTTAAAAATAGTGTTTTTACTCACCTTTTTTTTTCCCAATGTCGTGCTGGTCTGCCCTCGACTGGCCCTGCCTATATGACTGAGATCATCAAGTTTGATGATCTCAGCCAATCCGCACTGACACAGGAAGCGCCTCTAGTGACTGTCTGAGTGTCTGTCACTAGAGGTTTCACTAGGAAGCAATGTAAACACTGCCTTTTCTCTGAAAAGTCAGTGTTTACAGTGAAAAGCCTGCAGGGACAGGCTATAGACACCAGAACCACTACATTTAGCTGTGTGTGTGTGTGTGTGTATGTGTGTGTGTGTGCGCCTGCTAGTGAGTGAGC